TAACGATGTTTCCTATGGGGGATTTTCGCATAACAATGTTTGGGACCTTGCTTCACTTAACGATGACAGTTTTAGGTCCCCTGTTTCGCTTAACATTTTTTTTGACAGCCCTGTTCTCGCTATTTTAAAAATATTCTAAAATGTTTAAAATGCTTGGAATCGTTAGTGCACCTAATAAAACCTTCATTAAAGTAATTTGGCTTCGTTCTGAGTCTTTTTGAATTTTTGGTGATTTTTTTTTCACCATTGAAATGTATTGAATAGGCTCCTACTGGAACGGATTAACCGGTGTTCAATGCATTTCTATGGGAAATGGTGTTTCGCTTAACGATGTTTTCACATAACGATGTTTTTAATGGAACCAATTAACATCGTTATGCGAGGCACCACTTACTTTCTGTGTATCTTGTGAGGAAGCGGGGGATATTAGTAAACATGACAACACACAAAAAGAGCAATAACCCTTTGCTATCTGAGCCTCAGAACCAGAAAATAATCTTATGCCATCGGTCTTCCTTCCTTTCAAATAAAACCAAAACATTATTTCCGAAACTCGTTTTTCACCCTTCCAGAAAGATGTTTTTAAAGACGTCTACTGTATTTAACACAATGTGGGTCCAACTTATCAAGGCAAAATCAGCAGCTTTCATCAAGGCTAGGAAACCACTAGCCCAAAATGCAGCCATGGCCTCAGGGGCTTCTTTTATGCCCCACAGTTAACTTCTGGCTTTATTTCTGATGAGTGATCAGATCTCTGAGTGGGAAAATATCCAAACTGATGGGAAGTACTGTACGTGTGTGTTCTGCACCCATTTTGCTTTTTAGCCCTGCTTTTTGGACTAAAAAGGCACCCCCCGCCATACATACCATCACTACAATAGGCCAGGTGACGTGTGTGACTTGCTCCAGTGAATCACCTGCCCTATGTTGTGGTCTGTCAGTTGGCTTGACACCTCTCTAGTCATCAGCGAAAATGAAGAAGCTACAACATGTGGCTGGTGAGTGATCTCCTTTTGACCTGACGGGTCACAAGTTATGGTGGCCTGCCTTCCATTAGTTGCTTCACAGAACAAAATCTGTCTTCGTCTCACATCCATACAATTACAAACCTTGCCTTTTATGTTATGATAAACTTGGGAAACCCACCCCTTCCCTCCACTTGAGAAGGTTCACTCGGATTGCAAATAATAAAGCACGTGATATAGCTCACTGCAAGAAATAATGCTCTTCCTAAGACAAAAGTCTTAGGAAATGTGAATTGAGCCTTTGAGCCCTTCAGGACCAGATCTCCTGGCTGACCAACTGCTCATTAAATCATGACAGAAATTCTTTCAGAGTCTTGGATACTCATGCTGTGAGGCGGGGTGGGGGTGGGGGGAAGAACACAGTTTCAGTGGGATTGCCAACACCATTTTACTGGACAGGATTTATTGTGAGAGTGGAATTTCTTTGGCTTTTGTTTTTGATGCTAAAGAACACCCATCAAAACACACAGTTCTCCCACCCTTGGTATTTTTTCACTGTCTCTTCACTCTTGGCACTCTTCTCCTAAATTTGCTTGCATAAAAAACACACTTTTTTGTGTGTGGTTTTTTTTTTGCACCAAACATCTACATTGGGGTTTAGACGTTTGGTGCTTATTTCTAAAGACAACATTTGTGGATTATTTGTAGGAGCCCCAAACTTGGAGAATGGGTGCAGAATATTCTGTCTTTACTCCTATCCAGACTAGTGAAATGAAAGAAGGACTTGTCACTCAGTTTGATAATGCAATATATGCTTTGCATGCAGAACGTCCCAGTTTCAAACCCTGAAATCTCCAAACGGGGCCAGGTAAAACTCCTGGCTCAAGCCATGGAGAGATACTGATAGTTAGTGTATTAACAAGATTGAGTCATTAAAACTGATAGTCCACCTTGGTACAGAGCTACTTCCTGCATCCCTAAAGCAAATGTTTTAGGCTCGCAGCTCCTTGATATGTCAAATCAAGGGTGAACATGAGCAGCTTGACCAGCTGACTTTTTATAATGCTTATATGTAGGCATGAACTTCAAGACCCCCATCAGTTTCATCAAAAGCAAGTTATATACAATGAAGCAGGAAAAAGCAGCAGCTGTATAACAGCAGCAGCACAGGATCAAATATGGGTATCCGTAATAAAAATATGACTTTTATTAAAATAGAATAATAAAATATTCTATTAAAATAGGATCATACACACACACACACACACACGAGATATATATACACATAATAAGATTATCATATATATTTTACAGAAAATAAGAGATATATATACACATAATAAAAAGATTATCATATATATTTTACAGAAAATATAGCGGAAATCTTAATGTGGTCTGAATCTGCTCACATCCAAAATAAGGCGCCACAGTGACACAGCATTATTGCTAGTCCACTGTACATTTAATTTATATTCCAGTAGTAAAACAGGCAGATATTTGGTCCAGCTTTAGCCATTGACTGAAATCCACTCACTTGCTTTACAGTAGCTTTGAAGGCTCCCAAAATAGCAGCAGCTCCACCACAATCTCGTTTCATCCCAGGCATTGTTGTCTAGTCAAATGGAAACAGAATCATATAAATGTATGCAGAAAACTATAACACAATTTGTTAAAAGGCTTATCTGTAAACCTGCAGTTACCCCACTGAGTAGAGTTGGACGTCTTCCTAGGTAAGAGTGCACTATACTAGATTGCAGCCTGGCTTTGTGAAAGCTTAGTCCTACAACTGGATTTGTACCTACACACTGCACTGTACAATTGCATTTGCTTATATTCTTTTGTTTATCTTCACCATTCCTTCCTTCTCTAAATTCTGACTGACCGCATGCTTCATGGAATGGGAGCCTGTTTTATGCTTTTGTTTAATGTAGTCTTTGCAAAACATGATGCACACTGACCATGCACTGAATTTCAGTGTACATACCTGTCTGTGTGTGTCCCTGCCTTTGTTTGTATTTCTTTGAGTGTGTGCATTTTTGAAGAGTCTGAGTTCGGGATAATCAAGTGCCCTGCCAGGTCCTCCAGAGTCCAGTCCTAGAGATACACACCTTTCCTTTGATGCTGAGCCCTCCAGTATCATAGACAATGCCCTTCCCAACCCAGGCAATGGTCTGTGTGGCACCTTCTGGGGCATGACTGAGCACAGCTAGGGCAGGTGGATGCACGGCTGCTTTGCCAACACCATAGATACCTGCAAAGAGAGGAGGGGGAAGGATCGAGAACTTCATTTGGTCAAGGAAGTTGGGGGAAAAAGATCAAACCTGCCTGGGAACTCTCACGTGATTTCGCAGCTGCGTCTAAAATTTGTAGAAAACATGGGCTCCCAAACTCTATGATCATGGCGAGTCTTTTTCACAGGCAGATCACAAGGAAAGAAGGCCATGATGGATCAGATCAAAGGGCTGCCTAGTCCAGCTTTCTGTTCTCACAGTGGCAAATTAAGAGGCTTAACGAAGACCCCTGCAGAAAGGGATACGAGCACAACAGCTCCCTCTCCTATTGTCAGAAGAGCAGGAGCTGGTATGGAGAGGCCCTGCTGCCTCTAATTCTTGAGGCAATATATAACCATTATGGTTTGCAGTTGTTGGCCGCTTTCTCGTCTCCATTTAAGGCCATCCAAGCTGGCAGCTTCACTGCAATACTTCCTGTAGGAATCACTTCCTATGCAGCAAATTCCAGGTTTTTGACCATGCATGGTGTGAAGACACAGTTAAATTTCTCAGGTCTGTCCACAATGATGAAGACATGTGCATCTCTTTGAGAACCAGGAGTGTTACAGGAAGACATTTTGACTACCAGATAGCCAGTCAAGTACTTAAGAGTCACCTTTTTTGATGCAATCCATTTAATGCATCATGGTGTACCAGCAACAGCCCATTGCTAATGGATGCATCAGCAATGCTCCCAAATAAGACATGTTTGCAACATCTCAGATTCTGGTGTATACCCTGCTTCTACACAGGGGTTTCATTTAGGTCCACTGGCTACCACGGCTCCCAAATTTTTGTGCTTTGTCCTATCTCTTAGACTAGGTCACTCATGCTAACAATGGGATCACCAAAGTACCCACATCTGTTGATGACAACCAAGACTGAATGTCCTGGATCCCCTTCTCAAGTGCTGGTGCACACCCAGCTTTTTAAAAAAAATGTTGCTAGAATGGTGAGTTAGGGAGGTGAACAGGATATTCCTCACTCACCATAGAATAAGCCTGCCTCGCCAGGATATCAATAAAGGGGCTGAGCCCCTAAATAGTGTGGCTGAGGTCCATGTACATCTCTTTGAGAACCAGGAGTGTTACAGAATGTGACTAACATTGATAGCCAGCTATAATCTGTACTCGCAAATAATCCTGGCTCTCCCCTTTGGTTGATGGGCAGCTTTTTGTTGGACATGGACAGAATCTGGACAAGACTTCTTTGCCTGTGGTTCCCAGAGCCCCCCCAAAAAACACGACTATGTTATAATCTAAAAATGCACTTTCCCAAGCACAGAATGGCTCAAGACCCTACTGTGACCATGGGAATGAAGCCGAGCTGCAGGAGATCTGTCATAATAGAAATCTAATAAATAAATAAAATAAATACAGTGGTGCCTCGCTTAGCGATCGCTCCGTTGAGTGATAAATCCGCTTAGCGATGGGGTTTTGGCCATTTCCAGAGCAATCGCTTAGCAATGGCCCCTATGGGAAAAATCACTTTGCGATGATCGCGGGGAAGCGATCATGGCAAAGCACCCCTTTTTGCCCAGCTGTTCGGCGGTTCCAAAATGGCCGCCGTAAAAACAAAATGGCCGCCCGCTGTTTTGCCTTGCTTTAGAGGCACCGAAAATGGCCACCCCTATGGAGGATCTTCGCATAAGGCCAGTTTTTAAGCCCATAGGAACGCATTAAACACATTTTAATGCGTTTCTATGGGCTTTTAAAAATCACTTAGTGATTAAATCGCTTAGCAATGTTTTTCCTGGAACAGATTAACGTCGCTAAGTGAGGCACCACTGTAATGGCAATGCTCAGAGACTGGAATATAACTCGAGGAAAGGCATGCCACCATCTCTATGTGGCTGTCCTCACATTAAAACCTACACTTTTCCTATAGCAGGATGGCCCAGTGTGTACTGTGATCTCCTGAATAATTCATCATTGCAGCCCTTCTCTTTTCCTATATATGCTTTTGCACTGGTCTGCCAACATCAGAAAGCTTCCTTACAACACGTTGGGCTACCTGTTGCTTTAACTCACAACGGACTATATCTGTGTGACTAGGGACTGCAACTCTCTATTTATTTGTTTGTTAGTTCATATTTTTTATATCCTGCTCAACCAGGAGCAAGGCTACTCCTTTTCCTTACCACTATCTATGATGGTTGGGTTGATAAGACCTATAGGTCGAAAACATCTGGAATGCCATAAATTCCTCATATTTCTGATCTACAGACTGGCAGGGCCATTCCAAGGTTCAAGAAATATGCTTTTCTCCATCCTATCTGGAGACAGCAAGACTTCAACCTTAGACTCTCTCCATACAAAGCACCTTCTCTACCAAGAAGCTCTATGTCTTCTCCAAAGTTAACCAAGAATTTCCCGCAGTACTACTTTCCAAATAATTTGGAGCTTCAATTTTTTGGAATTACACCATTTTTGAGTTGCAAATGGAAGTACACAGCCATGCCTCCGAGTGTTCTGCAAAGACCCTCTACATGATCAGAGGATCCCTTAGGGTCTGCTTCAAGGTTCCCACTAAGCTGGGCATGCATGCACACGACTCCACTTCCCTCCGCGCAGCTGTCTTCCTCCTCCACACAGTGATTGCATTAGGTTCTGGTTGCGACAGAACCCAGCACCCCGGGGTGGGGGAGCAGAATCGTGAGAGAGAAAGGCAACTTGCGACAGAACCCAGCACCCGGGGGGGGGGAGCAGAATCGTGAGAGAGAAAGGCAGAGACCCGCCTAGCAGGGCTAAAAATTAGAGAGTACGCTAGTCTGCTTCTAGATTTCCAAAGGCATTTTCTTACACTGCCCAGCAGTTGTTCTGTAGAGTATCAGGAGCCCCACTTGATAGCAATCCAAGCAGCCATGGTTGGAAAATATGCCCAGGAAGCCTCAGTGTTATTGGAGACCATTGGGCTCAAGGCCTCGGGAAAAGGGTCAGATTAAAACTGGAACGGATCAGCAATCTTTTCACAAACACAAGAAAATCATTTTGGCTTGACGCACCTCCAAATCCCTTCTCCTTCAGCTCTGCATTTCGAAAAATGGTCGGAACGATTCCCAAGTCTTTTCCAACTTTTTTTATTTCCTTCAAGGAAAAAAAAGATGGCAGGGAGACACCAGTGTCAAAGGACAACACATTTGTATCTCAATTAAAATACAAAAGCTACAACCCAAGCCTAGAACCCATGAGAACATTCAGTAATCAGGCAGTAGAGCCATCTTGTTGCACCATCAGCCTGCCTGGATACTGAGCTCATGCTTAAAAGTTCTTCTCTCAGTTCTTTCCTTATCCAACGTGAAGGAGACAGCAACCAGGAGAGAGGGCTTTTTCATACACACGCCTCCATTTATGAATGATAGGAAACCCCGATTAGGTTTTGCTTTGATGTCAGTTGGGTATGGAAAAAAACACTTTTCATTATTTAAGCTTTTATCAAATTTTAAATCATGGTAAGTTGCCCTTATTTGTTATTTCTGTATAATTATTGCTTTTCTTGCTCTCATTATTACAGCTTCATTGCCAAAAAGGCCTCTGCAGAGTTTTCTCACCTGTAAAACTAACCCTGCCATTATCCCTGGGTAACTATGCACTTTTTTGGGGGGGGGAATGGGCAACTCTTGTAGGCTGGCCCACACTGGACTTACTCTCATTTCTTGTAACTGGTCAAGTCAAGCCTGAACTACCTCTGGAGACAAAAATGTTGAAACTGAGGCTGTCCTACTCTAGGCACATCATGAGAAGGCAAGCTTCTTTGGGGAAGACAATAATGCTGGGAAAGAGAGAAGGCAGTAGGACAAGAAATCAAAGGTGAGATGGATCGACTCCCTAAAAGAAGCCACAGGCTTGAGTCTACAAGCAGGGTGACAGAGGACAGGACATTTTGGAGAGTGGTCATTAACAAGAGTTGCCGTAAGTTGGGGAGAACCTGATGGCACACCACAACAACAAACTGACGTGGCCTATGAGATTTGGACAGTGGCACAGATGAACTCTGTTCACAGCGTGAAAACAATCACTTTTTTAGTCTATGATTCCTTCAAGCCCCAGCTAATAAAGGCTTGCTGTCTAGAGGATTTTGGGGAAAGGTACAATGTGCTCACTGTTCACATATTAAGCTATGTTCCAGAATCCACTGCAAAAGGATTCCAAAGAGATTCTTCAGTGAACCAGTTAATACAAAAAGAACCTCTTGATGTTTGTAAGTCACAGGTATTACGGCTTGAATCTGGGTAAGGCCCTTGACATGGGTGGGTGATGCAGCCACATTTACCCTCCTCACTCCGAAGTTGCTGAGACCATCGCATGAGGAACATGAGCGTAGGAAGCACAGACTGTGCGTTGAGCTTAAGGAAGGCAGTTAACAGTCCTTGCAATAACCGTGCAAGTACTGGAAGCATGTTGAGCTGAACAGCTTTACAGTGTTCATTTTAGGATGTTGCTTTCTCATGCAGAATTCTGAGAGACATTTGAGGAAGAGGGGATGCAAAAAGCAGTCTTACATGTACACCCCCATCCCCATTATCCTTTTAGTCTTCTATCCATTGTTGCAGGACACGCAACAATGAGCTCAAGTTAAAGGAAGCCAGATTTCAGTTGAATATCAGGGAAAACTTCTTAAATGTTAGAGCAGTACAACAGTGGAACCAGGTACCTCAGGAGTTGGTGAGTGCTCTAACACTGGAGGCATTCAAGAAAAAACTTAGATAATCACCCGGCAGATATGCTTTGATTGTATTCCTGCACTGAGCAGGGGGTTGGACTTGATGGCCTTGTAGGCTCCTTCCAACTTCATTTTCTATGATACCCAATATCAGAGGTAATGCCTGAATAGGGTGACAGCCCTAGGATAATCAAGAGCAAATGGAACTTTCTCTTGTCTACAAGAAAACTCCTTCCAAGCTGCTCAGTTACTAATCTGGGACTAATCACATGGCCATCCTCTGTCATGTACACATATCTGGCTAGATAATGAAAGGAAAAAACTACAGCCTTTTTGGTTTATTCCTTATAATTAATGACATTCATTAAAAACCTTCTGCCTTGAATGGGGCAACAGTGCAGGATTCAATGACCAACAAGACCTAAACCAACTTTCTGAGCACTCTTGACAAAATACAGGATGCCCGAAAGTAAAACCTGGGTAGTGATTTCCAAACTCAACAGACCAATGGTTCTCTACAAAACACCCTGTCAAAAAGTATCACCAACCTCCAGAAAGCTATCGGTGTTCATTTCATTGCACGGGGTGTCTACAATACGAGCAGCCAACCTTACTCCTTCTGTAGCACTTTCCAGACACTAAATAAAATATATAAAAAAGGAGAGAGATGTGTTTGCCACTCTATAAGAGATAAAGAAAGGTCACTCTTGTGGTTAGGACAGCTGTTAAAATTAACTCAAAGTAAGAGACATTCATATCCAATTCCATGCTTTTTCAATCAAAAACATCTCACAACAATTGACCAAGAGAAAACAGTAGCTTACTTTAAGCATGTCCACCTCCACTGGTCCATTGCTCTGTCCAACCAGGAAAAACTCCACGATTACCGTTTTCTTTTCTGTGCGTCTAGATGCGCTAGACCGCCGTGTAAACAGTGGGAAAGCCCTGGCTATGGCACAGGCTGAGGCGAAGACCTCTGAACGGTCACAGACCATCTGAAACAGAGAGAGGAAAACAAGGATGTTCTCAAAAATGCAGCTTCCTGGTTTAAGAAAGAATAAGCCTGGAGGGAAGCATGGGCAGCCATTAGACCCAGTGAGGTGTCCACCTTAGCCAGCAGATGCTATGAAATGTGGACGGGTTAAGAGCAGCAGCTCATCGGCTGTTCCTTGATGGTGGCGCAGTGTGTTCTGGACCAGTAGTTCTCAATTTTTGGACATTCAGAACTGCTGGACTTCAGCTTCCAGATCTGAGCCACAACTGTCCGAAGGAAAGGATTCAGGGATGGGAGGTCCGAACCATCTAAAAGGTCAAAAGCTGAGATCCATCGCTTTGGAAAAAATATCCCATGTTCTCTGAGCTAGCTTGCTGCCTCTTAGGTGAAGCAGAACATTTTACTCTATGTTTATACTGATTTCTTAACTGTTAGCTGCACAGAGCCACTAGAAGGGTGGGCTAAACATTGAAATAAATATATAAACAAATAAATGCTGGCTCATCACCTCTGTAAAAGCAAGATTCGATTATTTTTTTAATTGACTTCTGTAGGTGGAATCCTCTACGACAGTGGTCCCCAAGCTGAGTCATCCAGGTGTTCTCGGACTGCAACCCCCAGAGACCCCAGCCAGCATAGCTAGGGATAAAGGCTTCTGGGCATTGCAATCCAAGAACACCTGGGCTACCCAAGATTGGGAACCTCTGTTCTACTACCTCAATCAGCAAAATCTCTTGGAACAGAGTCTACAAAACAGTTTTCCATCTCTGGTGTTTGGGCTCTAATGAAGAACAAGTCAATACAAGGTGGGCTAAACTAAGGGAAAACCTGTGAAGATGTTTCAAAAGAGTTGGAGGCCTTTCTGTTCATGGATGACACAGGAGAACATAAGTAACAAAAAAATGGAAAATGTTTAAGATAGCCACAGATGGGGGGGAAAAGGATCAATTATTTTCCACCTATACTATCTCTGGTGATGATTAAACTTAGCTGTGGTTGGAGAGCTCTGTCAAAACACTCACTTCTTAATAACTGACACCAAGCAGACTGACCTGATGGGGCTCTCACTCTTCTCCCCAACAATGGACACCAAGCAGACTCACCTGATGGGACTCTCACTCTTCTCCCCAGCCAAAAGAATGCTACTCCGTTGAAGTTCGGTGTTTTAGCACTGGCCAGAGAAATACTGTGACGTTGCCCACGTCTAAACAAGCATGCACAAAATTACACGCTTGTGACCTGCATATGGCCTGGAGTAATTAGTGCCACATTTTGTTCCACGTTTGCAACCTCAAAAGTGGGCAACAGGTCCACGCACATGAAGGCAGGCTCTGAGGTGCAAGCAAAACTGCATCTATTGCTTCAAACGCAGAGGGCACTACATGAACACTGATAGCCAGTACACTCCAGGTGAGAGAAGAAATTACACTGGCGCAGGGTGCGGAGGGACGATGGGGTGTGGGAACCAAATGAACACGAGTACCAGATGCTTCTAAAAGCAGTAGTGGCAGGATTGACAGGGTCAGACAAGTGCTATGTTATCCGAGTCACAGCAGGTAATGACAGACCCCTACCCACCAAAGTCAACGTGCATAACAACTTCCGTTTCCTTTAAGCGTCAATGGATATTTTAAACACCTCCCACACCTTCACTTACAAGGATGCATCTGTTGGTCCCGCCTGGGAGACAGTTTCGAATGAGGCGTGTGAGAAACTGGGCTGCCGATGGGCTGTTGTGCCTCGTGACCCGGGAAGGTAATGCCGCAACTGTGGCATAGTTCAAGTAGAGAGGGCAGCTATCAGTTGGATTTGGGTTCAGGGTGCTTAAGGCAGCTTGCCATATCTAAGGGCGAAAAAAATAGAACACAGAAGATTAAAAACATTCTATAGAAAACACAGCACCTCTTGTATATATAACTTTGAGACAGTATTCGCCTTACTGTAGCAGCAGTGCTGGGGTAACAGGAAAAAACATGGACAATATGAGCCGAGTCTGTGGTGTAGGCCTTCCCTGTCAAGACTTCAACAACTTGGCTAATGCAAGTATTGAGAAATGCTTCAGCATAATCTCCTTGCCTGTTTCCTCTAGCTTGGTACTCCAAGAACATGGGAACAACTGGGGCAGCTCCAGTGTACTGGTTAGTCCCCAGATATTTTTGGTGTACACCTGAATGTATATACTTGAATACATAGAATGATTTGCCCCATGCACACCCGAATAAAAACATCGGACATATAGCCAAACGGACATGTGACACATTTCCACATCAGAAGGGTATGTTAGTCCACTTGCATACCCATTAAGTAATCTGGGAAAGTAAAGAAGATTCTCCCAGTTACTCTACGGGAAACCTGGAAGCAGCATGGCCAAGTCAGAAATCCTATTCTGTCGTTAGACAATCTGGTGCTGTGAACATGCTTAGAAGGGAGCGGCCAGACCCACCTTTCTCTGCCGTTGTCACATTCTTCAAGGTTTCATCGAACCGTGTCTGATAAAGAAAGGATCCTTCTCACATATAGGCTCTACACACACGTGAGAACCATGACATGTAGAGCTTCCGCATTAACAGGACCCCTTTTCATTTTTTTTACCCTGCTGCTGAAACTGTGCAGAATGCCATGTTGGAATGTGCAAGACTCAACATTCCCCACTAAGCATGTTCAATGTGCTAGGTTGTGTAATGACTGGATAGGGCTAGACTGATCAAAATTGTTGGAGATCTGCTATACTTTAGTGCTATACATGGGAACTGTAACCAAGAAATCAAAAGGAGTCTGAAGGTGTGTCACTGGAAACCAAAGTTTAGGTCATTTAGACCAGTGGTTCCCAACTTTGGGTCCCCAGATGTTCTTGGACTACAACTGTCGGAAATCCTGTCGGAAATCCTTCACTAGTAGTGAAGGCTTCTGTGAGTTTCAGTCCAAGAACATCTGGGGATCCAAGCTTGGGATCACTATCAACTAGAAGGGCTCAACTTCTTTGAACAGGTATACAGTGGTGCCTCGCTTAATGATTGCTTCGTACAACGAAAAATTCACTTAACGATGGCTTTTTCGGAGCGATCTTGCGCTTCACTTAACGATTTTCCCTATGGGCGATTTTCCCTTAACGATTTCGGGACCATGCTTCGCTTAACGACGACAGTTTTAGGTCCCCTTGTTTCGCTTAATGTTTTTTTTACAGCCCCGTTTTTGCTATTTTTAAAATATTCTAAAATGTTTTAAAAATGTTTAAAATGCTTGGAATCGTTAGTGCACCTAATAAAACCTTCGTTAACTTAATTTGGCTTTGTTCTGAGTCTTTTTGAATTTTTTGTGAAATTTTTCCCCCCATTGAAATAGGCTTCAATGCATTTCAATGGGTTTCGCTTAACGTTTTTTCCTATGGGGATTTTCGCTTAAGGATGGTAATCCGTTCCAATTGGAACGGATTATCCGGTTTTCAATGCATCTCTATGGGAAATGGTGTTTCGCTTAACGATGTTTTCACATAGCAGTTTTTTTTGGAACCAATTAAAATCGTTAAGCGAGGCACCACTGTACTGAAAAGACAATAGTATTAAGAAAAGAAGAATGCAATAGAAAAGAAAGAAAGAAAATAAATTGAATTGACTCAGTAAAGGAAGCCATGGCCCTCAATCTTCAAGACAGAGCTGTCAATCATAGGATCTTTTCGTATTCATAGAGCGAGACATGACTTGATGATGGCACATAACAGCAGCTGCCTTATCCAGCTCAGCAGCATCCACTTTGAGCACCAACTGTTCCCACAGGTTTCAAGCAGAGCAGGGTCCAAGACAGTACTGAACCAGGGAACTTTCATATGAAAAGCATGTGTTCTGCTTTGGGAAACATAAAACTCAATGTTCCGCCAAGTTCCTTCCAACCTTATTTATTTATTTATTTATTTATTTATTTATTTATTTATTTATTTATTTATTTATTTATTTATTTATTTATTTATTTATTTATTTAATATCCCACCTATCTGGTCGGTCAAAGGGAGAAAGAAGGCCATCAGGGATAGACTGGAGGGAAGGCCTGCCGAAACATCCATGTTTTAAGTTGATTTTTAAAGATACCCAGCTAGGGAGCCACGAAACTCAGGAGGTAGGTTGTTCCAGAGGCGAGGAGCCACCGCCGAGAAGGCCCGATTTCTTGTCTGTTAATGATGGACATCAGGAAAGTCCATCATTAACAGCCTTGCTCTGGCAATGCAAACTCAAAGGACCTTTTAAGCTCAAAGACCCATTTGAGGCATTTTGAAAGAGGCCTGTTGAACTCAAGTCCTTCCTTATTCCTTCCTCATTCCCTGACAAGTTACCAAGTAATTTTTCAGGTCATGGCTAATTACCCCTCAATTAAACCGATGTCTATATTTATCTTTTTAAAAAGTATATATGTAATAAACAAGTGTTTGAAAGCATGTCAGCTTTGCTTGTTGAAGATCTGGACCTGTTTGTGGCTCTCTCTTGAGTGTCCAGGTAAATAATCAGCTAGCTGATAACTAAGTACGGCTGACTTAAGGGCAGGGTGGATTTGATTTAAATTTAATTGATTTAAATCATGATTTAAATCACAATCTATTTTTTAATTCAGATTTTTTGGATAATTTAAAAGATCAATTGTTTTTATTTAAATTGTAATTTAAATCAATTTGATTTTTTTTAAAAAAATCATTGTTTTTTTATCCACTCTATCTGAGGGCCTTTCACCCTTGGAGTGCCCCTCACATCAATTTGATTTTTTAAAAAAAAAATTATTGTTTTTTTTATCCACTCTATCAGAGGGCCTTTCACCCTTGGAGTGCCCCTCAAAGCTATCTGATGACTATGTTCACATATACGGTAGACCAATGGTGGGTAACAAGTGGTCTCCAGATAGTAGTGGAATGTAAATCCCATCAGTCCTGTGCTGCCTAAGATGGATGGGAATTGCAATCCAAAAGCATCCAGAAGGCCATGGGCTTTCAATCTTTATCCTAGACCAACACCAAGACACTGTTGCTTCACATTCACCTGGTAGTCAACAAAAAAGCAGTGACACCTCTCACAGAGATCAAACCATCTTCGTCATTCCAGAGGGACTGCAGCTCAATGGCAAAGCAAGAGCAAGCAACATCCATTAACAGGGTCCCAAGATGATTCAATCACTGTTAAATAATCACAAGACAAAGGATGGGGAAAGGCTATCTCCCGAATCGTGGAAGGCTGCTGCACCTCCCTCTCACAGGAGAAATGTTGACCTCATTATGTTTGCTTCGTTTCTAGGTTGCCTCTCTTCCAGAGAAGCTGGAAGGAAGCTCACAATGGTTAAAACAAGTACTTTGCAGGTCGCTCTACTATCATTGTCTCCCAACATTGGCTGGATCATTCAAAACAGCTCTTCCCTATTGGAGGAAGTCCAGCAACAGTAGGCACAACTGGGGAGGTACGAAGCAACACTGTGGGCACCACTAAGATGTCTCACCTTCCTAGTGATCTACATGGCCCCAATCTTTACCATATTCTTTCGAACCTTCCAATTCTTGGGTTTCATAGACATGACTCAACGCACAGGACTCTATGCACCTTTACATGCCATAAGGTCTAATAGATTTCACCTACAGCCTCAACTAGACAAATTCACTGAATCAAATGCAACGTACGTTAAGTGTTGACTTAAAGAAGCTCCCACTGAGTCCTGAACATCGAAACGGTGCCATCAAGTCAACTCCGACTTACAGAGACCTCCAGAGGGTTTATCAGTCCCTCCTTGTGACACTGCACTGGGACCATACACCTTGCTCAAGGCCATATAACTGGCCAAACAGGTAGCCCCACCAAACGCAGAATACATTCTGCATGATCTTCGCTGGTCTCTCTCCTGCGAGGCAGTCGTCGCTCCGCACCCACTAACTCCAACCCACAGAACTACTGCGGCACTTGAGGTCTAACTCCAGTTGCAGCTAAAAATGGATTAGACTCTGGGATTTATCCCTGTGTGGTATAGCAACTATCCTCTGCCCTCTCATGCAGAACCAAGTTCCTTAAATTCAGCAACACTTACATCTAAGTAAACAGGCCCAGATGAGTCTCCACAGCTTTCGACTCAGAACTGTTTTACCTCATTTATATACACATTTATTTATACACGTATACTCTCTCTCCCCCCATGAAGCTACTTGCTTCTGTCCTGACAACCACCCTCTGAGGTAAATTAGATTGAGAAGGTGACTGGTTCAGTATCACCAAGTGGGTGATACCGCTCAGGGCGGAAATAAACCCGCCTTTCCAAAAAATCCCACCCCAGCCCTCAGAATCACGACACCACACTCTTTGTCGCCTAAATGCACTTGGCTTGCAAATCTCTCTCTCTCACACACACATTCACCCACTCCCTACAAGGGTATGTCTGCGAACCCTTCTGGATCGAGCTGGGGTGGGGTATATTTGCATTCCCCAGTTACCAGATAAGAGAGAAGTGCCCCACGATCTAGGGTGCGGGCGGGTTCAGATGTGCAGAGACCTGACGCGTCTTGTCGCCTAAATGCACTTCGCTTGCAAATCTCTCTCTCACACACACACATTCACCCACTCCCTACAAGGGTATGTCTGCGAACCCTTCTGGATCGAGCTGGGGTGGGGTATATTTGCATTCCCCAGTTACCAGATAAGAGAGAAGTGCCCCACGATCTAGGGTGCGGGCGGGTTCAGATGTGCAGAGACCTGACGCGTGCATGGCTTATTTGCCCACACATGCAGAACAAACCCCAACCCGGAGCAGAGCCCTGTAAGGACAGCAGCAAATCATGCCATTCAGCTGAGCCTGACCGGTTGCAACCTAGGCCTGGGGGGCAGAGAAAAAGGAAAAAACAGCCGCGGTGCTCCAAAGCGCACAAAGGGGCCGGAGATCAATGGGCAGAAAAAAAGGGGGCAGCAGCCGATTTCGGGAGGGGGGGCACCGGGAAAAGCGCTTGCAGCCCCTCCTTCCCCGGCAGCAGCCCGGACCCTCCCTCCGACGGAGACAGGGACCCGCTCAGCCCAGCCCTAGCCTTACTTCCTCGGTGACCCTCGGCTGCAGCTTGCCCCGCAACTGAGCCCACGGCACGCGGTGGAGATTCTGCAGCCGGCCCACGACGAGCACCGGGCGGCTTTGCGGATCCGCCTCGCCGGCGCTGGCCTGGAACTCCAGCTGCACGTTCGCCATCTTCCTGCCCGGCGGCGGCGACAGAAGGCAGGCGGGCGCTGGCGCGGCTTCGGCTCCTCCCCGGCAAGGCCCCGCGCCTGCCGCAACTGAGCCCACGGCACGCGGTGGAGATTCTGCAGCCGGCCCACGACGAGCACCGGGCGGCTTTGCGGATCCGCCTCGCCGGCGCTGGCCTGGAACTCCAGCTGCACGTTCGCCATCTTCCTGCCCGGCGGCGGCGACAGAAGGCAGGCGGGCGCTGGCGCGGCTTCGGCTCCTCCCCGGCAAGGCCCCGCGCCTGCCTCCTGCGGCTGGGCTGGGGGCGAACGGAGGAGGCGGAGAGGGCCGGGGAACCGCCGCCGCCACTGGTGTCAGGGAACAAGGGAGGTCGCGGAAACGGGGACCCGCCGCAGGATGCAGGCAGGCGGCCTGCCAGATGCGGTTGGACTGCAACTCCCAGCCAGTATCAAGGCGTGATGGGAGCTGTAGTATAACACCTGGAGAGCGCCGCGTGTTGCGCGCCTTTGTGCTAAGACGCGAAGTCTCTGTGCCTGCCCAGGAAAAAAAAGGAGGGGGGATATCTAGAAGAGACAGAGAAAAAGGACCCCCCCCTCCATTTCGCCTCCGTGAAGTTCCTCTAGAACAATTAAGGGTAGCTAATGAGTCACCGGAGGACAGGAGATGCTGGAGTAAGATGGGATCTTGGATGTGATCACAAGGTTCTTGTGATCTTAAAGATCATCACATGTTCTTTGACTTACTCTACCTATACTGTAATTGACTGCAGCCCCATGCGTATGGCCAATAAAAATGGGGTAGGCTTTAAGGGGGCACAAGGTTCACGCAGCAACCCCTGTGGAAATTTCCATCAAGATGCACTCATTGTCAGCAGACATGCCCTGGTTAAGGTGCAACAGAGGAGAGAAGTCTGGCTATTATTTGAGAAGGGGGGGGAGACTACATCTCCCCCAAACTTCTGACCAACCTGCTTGCTGTGAGGATTCAGAGAACTGAAACTCCCCAAATTACATTTCCAACCTCTAGTTTTGAAGTTCCTGTTTCTCCATGCTCTCCTAAAAAAAAAAAAACCCTTTTCCTTCAGCCAGCCAGAAAGCTCCGTAAAACTCACAAGCAGGCTGGCCCTGTTATATTAGACAAGTGAAGCTGCCACGGCCCTGGATGTTTCACTCTGTGAGAAGACATGAGTTATATGCACCTGAAAGCTTTTCCTCTGCATAAGTCCTCTTTCTGCACTTTGGCACAGAGAAGGGCACCTACTCAATTGCCAGTCTTACAGACTTTGCCCACCCATCCACCCTATTTCTATGTATCAGTCTTGGCCTTTGCCCCAGGTGGCAAACTTCCTTGGGCTTCCTTTGCAAGCAGGACCTAAAGACAGTATGTAATCATTACCTGCTTATGGCTGATGTTTTCAGGAGTTGTGCCACATCGTGCCTGGATTTTTTTTTCTGCTGTTCTTTCTTTACTTTAAAAACCTCTGTGCATTTAATGAAGCTGTGTTGGTGAAAAGAGGCAGGCAATATTTTACCAGATTACTAAAGAGCCATTGTTACTATACAATGTTATCTCATGGTTCACCCACCTCCAGATTCTGAGCCTGAAATGTATGTTAGGAGATCTCACCTTTGTGCTTCCATCCATGGGGGTGGATTTGAACCCAGGTGTCCTGGGCTAATGGCATTACTAGCCCTGCAACCCCTATAATAAGCTTTTATCCCACAATCAAGTATTCTGGCCCATGAGGTTCAGTGTGTTAGACTAATTAGCAGCAGCTGAGACACTTAGAAAAGATTTTAGAGTATTTTAATTGTATTTTAATTGTTTCATCTTTTTATTGTATTTTTATTGTATTTTAATTGTTGCAAGCCACCCAGAGACCTTTGGGTAGAGTGGGTGGCATATAAG